GCAGGCTGTGCAGGCAAGTGCATGTGGCCAGGGTGCATGGGGACAGGGTGCAGGAGCATGGGGACAGACACGTGAGGTCAGTGGGACAGGGTGCACAGGGATGGACACAAGGTCAGAGTGCGCAGGAATGACGTTTATGAAGCTAGAGTGTAGAGGGACAGCATGCATGAGGACACACAGGGACAGGGTGCACATGGAAGAGGCGCACGGGGACACAGGGACAGGGAGCACAGGGAGGGACGCATGGGGACAGGGACAGGTGCACAGGGATGGACATATGGGTCAGGGTGCACACGAATAGGGTGCATAGGGACGAGGTGCACAGGGATAAGGTGCAGAGGGATGACACGTGGGGACGGTGCACAGGAAGGAGGAGCACAGGGATGGAGCACAGGGATGGACACATGGGTCAGGGTGCACAGGGATAGGGTGCACAGGAATGAGGTGCACGGTGACAGAGAAAAGGGATAGTGTGCATAGGGATGAGGTGCACGGGGACAGGGAGCACAGGGATGAGGTGCATGGGGACAGGGTGCACGGGGACAGGGAGCACAGGGCTGGACACACCCGGGGACAGGCGCACACGGTGTGTGCAGAGGGCTGGGGTGTTTGGGGACAGGGTGCACGGGCCTGGGTGCAGCTGGGGACACGGGGAGGGGGTGCTGGGGCCAGGCTGTGCACCAGGGACACGGCGGGGGCTGCCGGCAGGTTTTTCCATCTTTATTTGAAATGAATGGTTTCCAGAGACACAGGGTTAGTCCTACCGCCCTGTTATCACTACAACAAGACTGGTGAGCGGCTCACTCTCCACATGGACACAGAGGACAGGGGGGCCCGGGCCAGGGCCCCCGACAATATATACAGGCTCAACAGACAGTGCCGAGACCCATGTACAGCTCGAGGAAACCCAACAGGACACGCAGAGGGAGAGGACATGGGAGGGGGACAGCAAAGCTGGAGCCCAGCGCGCCCTGTGGGCACAGGGGAGGAGGAAGGCTGGGCAGCCTTGCTCCTCTGCCCCTCCCCCATGCTCCTTCCTGCGCACGGAGGGGCAAGGGGAGATGCGAGGCTCGTTGCCCCCTGGGAGCCGTGGGCACAGAGGGGCAGCGCTCGCCCAGCCCCGTGTCCGTCCGCGGGCTCTGCCGACCGGGAAAACACGGCTGGAACGGGGGCACCCTGCAGCCCTGACTGCAGCCCAGCCCCGTGTCCTCCTCCCACCGAGGGCAGCGGTGCCATCCTCGGTCCTCACCTTCGTCCATGCCCTGGGCACCGTTCCCACCGCGGTAGGAAGAGCCTGGGGGCTGCTGGCCCCAGCCAAGGCTCTGCCCCACTGTGCAGCTGCGGCCCCGGAATGGGGAGAAGGGGACAGCGCCAGGGCAAGGGACGGGGGCTGCGCCCTGTAGAGCAGGGGGACAGGCCCGGACCAGGGCTGCTGCAGGGCCCGGCCCCAGGGGAGGCAGCCTGGGGCTCAGCGCGGGCCACGTACGGAGGAAAGGCCTGTTGGGAGCGGGGCGAGTGGCTGAGGCCGGTGACAAGGAGGGGACAGCGCTGCCGCGCCTCCAGCTGCCGCTCAGCACCGGCCCCCGCGCCGCACGGCCCCGGCCCCGC